CCTTCCTTCCTTCCTTCCTTCCTTCCTTCCTTCCTTCCTTCCTTCCACCCACACACACATCCTTCCACCATCTGTCCATCCATCTGTCCATCCATCCATCCATCTTTCCATCCTTCCACCCATCAACACATCCATCCTTTCTCTCATTATCTTCTATTCATCTGTTTTATCCATCCATACATTCCTTCATTCATCATCTCCTGTTTATTTGCTCGTTCTTCTGTTTTTCTCATCTATCCACCCATTTTTAATCCGTCCTTATGAGGACTCAGACACTACAATTTGTGAGTTCAGACCCAGGGGTCAGAATATCTGTTTATGTGGATGAATTTATTCTTTATCAGTCACAGAACATTAAACCCCAAAATTAGAACGAGACTAACCAAAGAAAACAAACAAACAAACACTGAGTTCTTCACAATAACTCTACAGAGATCCAGAAAATAGTCGAAACACAGAGAGGAAAAAAATACAACAGTAGCAATAAACGAACATTTAAAAAGTCTCAGCTGCATGCAGGAAGACTTTGACACAAGTCACTGAAGAGAAGAAGGGTGTTATTATTAGGACATGTTGGTATGTGAAGATCAAAGGTCAATATTCTGTGACCCAATGATACGTGGAACATGATCCTGGGTGAAAAAATTACTTTCAAACATTTTGGACTTGGACCAAATTGGAGTCACTTTTACAAATTCATGATAAATTTTATTATGTTCTGCATTCTATTTTTTTTACTTAATTAATAACTCTATTTAACTTTACTTCACCTATTCTCTTTTTAGAATAATATTTCATAATATTTCCACTGGAAATAAAACTTTCCACATTATTTTACTGATTTTCATGGTATTTTTTTAGCATCTTGTTCATTTCAGTCTGGACAGTTTTTCATTATTTTTTATTTAATTTTTAAGACTGGAAATATTCTGATCAAGTTTTATTTTCTAGATTGCTGTTTATTATTTATACTATTTTGTTTGAGTTTTTCAGTTAGTTTATTGCCAACTTTCTTCTTAATTTTTCTCATTAGTTTAATGACATTTTTATTTGCTGTTTTGAGGTTTCACATCAGCTTTTAAAATGTATTTATTTTGGTTGTTGTCCTTTTAAATGTAAATAATAACTAATGTAATGATAAATAATGTTTTCTATTATTTTTAGTTCTTGTGCAAAAGCTGTGGACACATTTGTTTTGTTGGTGAACGAGGTCAGCAGCTGATCTGATCAGATGAGTGACTGCAAGCACATGGACGAGCCTCCACCACCTGCCACCTTAATCCGGTGACGACGAGGCGACGAACGGGACTTCCCCTCTGCTGCCAGGATCCTTCCTCCAGCCAGGAAGAGATTTAGACAGAAAACAGCAAAATGGCCTTGACCTATTGATTCATGGGAATTATGCCAGCAGAAATTCATCATTTAAATCTAAATTTGCTCCAGGGAAACCCAACTGTTGCATCTGTTGCTGAGGAAGATAGTAAATTAAGCTTTGATTTGGTCCTCTAGCTGTATATTCTGGTCAACCTGTGTAATTCTGCTGCTACGTGATGACATCATAATAAAACTCTTCAGGACTTTCTGTTTAACTCTGTGAAATGTCTTAACGCCTCACAAAGACAGAAGAATAAACATATATCTGACCACCAGCCGTTGGTGTTCTTTTTCAGCACCCCCCACCCAGAAATACCCTGGAGCTCATTTACAGGCAGGCACAGGAGCATTTGGCTTCAGCGGGTAAATATAGATGCCACACCCACAGGACTGAGGCACACTGGGAGATGTGGAGGTCCAGGGAACAGGTGGTGAAGCCAAGCAGTCTGGATTTAAATGACTCGTCTTAGAAACCTCTGGAATCACACACTGTCTGTCAGGACACTGATCAGGCCTTTGACAGCTTCTTAATTGATTTTCATCTAACATCAAGGGAACAAACACAACAGGCTCTACTGTGTTGTTGTTCATACACTAAAAAAAACTTGAGTTCATCCTTCCAAACAGGAGCATACAGGTGTGTGTTCAAACAACAACAAAGTGGAAAGATAGAAATGACCTTAAAGAAGCAACTGTTGCTGCCATCCATCTAGAAAAGGCCAAAGGTCATCTCTAAAGTCAGTCACTCTACAGAGAGAAAGATTTCACAAGTGGGAAACATTTAAGACAAACACCAATCTTCCCAGGAATGACAGGAAATTTGCCCCGAAGGTCAGACTGTGCAGTTCTCAGAGAAAGATGTCTTAATAGTTCCACATACTCCATCCAAAGCCGAACAGTTGACGTGGTCACGTGGTTGTTCGGCATTTATTTCCACCTTTCATAGCCCCCTGAGACACACTGAGTCGAGCTCCTGGGAAACCCCTCCCACTGCGGGGTACATCACTGCACGAGGTTACTTTCTGCTGCAGTCTACACTCAGGGAATAAACAAACAAAAAAAAAAAACTCAGATCCCCCGTTTTTTGTCCACAAATCTGTCGCGGTTAAATCTCTACACTTTTCTGTAGATGGATTCCTCCGTGCACATGGTTTATGAGTTTTTGGCCGTTTACAAATGCCTGCTTCCAAGTAGAGCAGTCACATTCTGGAAGTGAGTAGTTGAAGAAAAATCCAAGCCAATCACACAGTAAGTTCTTATGTGGAGGGGGATAAAAACTTTGACAAACAGGCAGCAGATTCAAAGCTATGAACAGAATGATGCAATTTACGCCATGCATCTAGGACAGTGAGAGCTGATGTCGGCAGTTCAGATGGTGCATGCAGAGGCTTTTAATGTCTTAAAATAAGCTTATGTTGCTTTAAAAACCGTATTGACCATAAACTACATCTCCCATAATGCATGTTGATTGTTTTACCTGCATAATGGCAGCATCCCACCAATAGGTGGAGGTGTATAGGGGTTCAAATGTAGGTGGCAGACGATGAAATTTGCTGTCTAAAATCTCCAGGGTGGCTACTTTTGCTGCAGACCCGTTCAACTGGGACATGGGAATTTCCCACTTACAAGTGGTAAATTTAAACTAGAACGCTCCAGGGGGAATTCCCTGTTGGAAAGTGGGAGCAACTCCGACTAGATGGCGACTACTCACCACAAATCCACAGTGAGTTAAACTCTCTTACTTTTACTTTTATAAGTATTTCTGTATTATTTATTTCCCATGTAGTCAGTCATGCATGTGGTACTTTTCAGTGTTTCAAAGAGGATGCATCAAACACTGTTCTTATGCAAGAAATACCACATAGAGCTCGGTTACTGTTTGTTAGCAGTGCTCAGCCATAGTAATACAAAGAGGAACATGATGTGGTAGTCAAAGTAAAACATGAAATGTCAAAGTTAATTACAACTGGCCCTTTGAGGGAAACCATAAGGCTCATGTGGTCCCTAGTGAAAATGAGCATGACAACCCTAGTTTAATGGGACTACAACATTTCTAGAACAAAACCATACCAAAGAGCAGATGCTTACCCATAATACAATGCATCAAACACTTCGTACCATCTGTCATCACAGTGTTGTGACTTGGACAGCAAGGTGCTAAACCTGACCATGAGTGTGACCACCTCTGAAAAAGCAAAGCCACTATAAAACCAAAACCTCTTCTCTAAAGGTCAAAAGGTTTATTATTTATTATTGTTATTTAATTAAGTGAAAGCCATTTCACACGTTTAGCCATACTTTACATTTTTGCAGTCACAGGGGTGATATGTCATACACTTTGAACAGAGTCGGTCTTTTCAATATGAGGCCCTTCCTTCTGCATAAACAACGCTTGCTTTACATTCTGTCTGGTGTTAAAGGTACCGCCCCCAGGGTGTGACCAGGAAGTCAGATTTACACGTGACTCCAATTCTGATCATGTTTTTTTTTCACAAAATTACAAGTGTGGCGTCTGACACTGAGTGACAAAAACAGATTTTATATGATTCTATCCTAACACTGTTTTAGGAGAAACATCTTTGATAAATGCTCCTTGACTCTGATCATGTTCCTTCATTTCCTGTGCATGCTTTGCATGTAAATAAAATGGCCCCGTCCGTGTAATATATTTTTAAACTTTTAGTTTAAAGATTATAGAAACTGAACATCCTACAGTATATTTACAGTCTTTATTTTACAGTTAAAGTATATGTTTATTAAATAAAGTCTAATGTTACAAGTTAATCGGGGATCCCTTTATGGTTTATCATGAATAAAACCCCTTTAATCTCCTTATTTGTACCATAACACATCACCCTCCAAAAGTCAATGCATTTAAACACAGCATTGTTATAAAGAAGCAAATCGTCTGAATTTGGTCAGATTTCAGGGGGAAAATCTAATTCTGAATTTTATCAGAAAGTAAGCACCATGATCACAACTCACTCTGAGATGAGCAAAAACTTCAGCTTTTTAATCTTTGTGCTCCCTTTCAAGCTCACATTCAACAAACACTTGTTTATATGATGCAGACTGTTGGATGAGTTCCCCAACAGGTTCTGACTGGCAGCAGTCTGAGGTGATTAACGGGTCAAACCCCTGCAGCTTCAGCACCCAGCCGGATTAAAACAGACAACAATAACTCACTGCAGGTTGGTTTCACTTGAACAATTCATTTTCTCTTTGTCTTCCTTTAAGATGTATATCTATAAAGTACTGGAACCTCATTTACTCATGTTTATGTATTTTGTTTTAAAGAATACTTTAAGTTTATGTAGGCTAAGTGTTGGGTGTCCAAGACAAGGTTGATAAATCTACTAAATATTTAGATTTTCTAATAAATTGAGGCCTTTTAAATACTGATTATTTAAAAATATTTACGTAGTCTCATACCCAGTATGAACAAGATAACCTGTCTGAGACCCAAAGAACCTGCCTCAGACCCAGAATAAAGTGGAGAACCTGCCTCAGAACCAGTGTAAACTGGAGAACCTGCTGCTGTTTGACAAGATAAAGTTAGACAGATCCAGTTTCAGAGCAGGACGCCGTGTCCCGGTTCTGGGTCAGCATCCTACCTTCTCCTGGGCTCTGCTGAGTCTCTTCTGGACGTTCAGGGCCAGTTTCCCAGCTGTGACCCCTTTCCCCATCTCGGCCATGTCGCTCTGCGTGGAGTCAGGACCCGGCAGAGGGAGAACCGTGTCTGAGGCAGAACCTCTTCAGTGCGCAAAACCGCTCCGGTGAGCGAGTCCGTAAGGTCGTGCGTAATTCTAATCCTGGTGACAGTTTCTTAAAGGAGCAGCGCGTAGTGTGTGTGTGTGTGTGTGTGTGTGTGTGTGTGTGTGTGTGTGT